GCCCCAACCACAAAATAGACCTCCACCTATCAAAACCCTCCCCCACCCCCCCAGCCCCGCTAATTAACAAAGCAATTCTTTTCCCAGGGAGTCAGGGAGGTGGGGGTACCTTCATCTTTGAAACTGAAGGCTCAAAAGGCATCCTACAATGGGAAATTCGTGAGGCAGGTTGTGGGACCCCAATTCTCAGAGTTTCCTATTCCATACGTGTGGGGTGGCCTGGAAACCCGCACTCCTAACCACTTCAGGTGATGCCCATGCGCTGGGCCCATCCCAGCTTGGCAGCCGCTGCTGCAACAAGTACTGCATTCGAGGGTCAAGAATGAATCAAGTTGGGAGCCGCGGTGGCGCAGCGGTGGCGCAGCGGGGCAGCGGGGCCGGGAAGTGACCCCGGGGTCCCAGGATCGAGTCCCCATCGGGCCCCCCCGCAGGGAGCCTGCTTCTCCCTCTGCCTATGTGTCTGCCTCTCTCTGTGTCTCTCATGAATGAATAAATAAAATCTTAAAAATAACAAAATAATAATAAAAGTTGGTCCCACTCCCGGGGAACCCAGGGGCATCCAGGTAATGGGGACAAAGGACACCCCGGTCCCACTGAGCTGTGCATCCCGGTGGGGACCAGGAACCTCGCGGGTTCCCCAGGCTCGGCGAGGGCGCAGTGCCCCGCCGCCCGCTCGGGTTTCCCCGGAGACAGACGCGCGGAGAGCTCTGGCCCGGCAGCGCCCCGGCCGCGCCCCCGCCCGCGGGGCACCTCCCCATCCCCCCAGCCCCTGGTCCCTCCGGTCCCCCGCACCCCCGCGCCCCGCGCCCCCGGGCCCCTGCGCCCTCCCGACGCCCTGTGACCCCGCACACCCAAGCCCCCGGACCCCGTGCCCCCCCGCGCCCCCGCCGGCGGGGGTACCTCCCTCCATCCCCCCGGGCCCCCGCGTCCCGGGTCCCCTGTGCCCCCCCGCATCCCCACGCCCCCTGCGCCCCTCGATCCCTCCTCACTCCTGCACCCGCGCCCCGTGCTCCCCCGTCCCCCGTGCCCCCCGGTCTCCCTGGTCTCCCCGCGTCCCCGGTCCCCAGCACCCCGCGCCCCCGGGTCTCCCCGTGCACCCCCGTCGCCCGCGCCCACCGGTCCCCCCGGTCTCCCCGGCCTCCCCGCTCCTCCCCGTGTCCCTGGTCTCCCTGCGCCCCCCGGTCTCCCCGGTCTCCCTGCGCCCCCCGGTCTCCCCGATCTCCCCGGTCTCCCTGCGCCCCCCGGTCTCCCCGATCTCCCCGGTCTCCCCGGTCCCCTCGGTCTCCCTGCTCCCCCTGGTCCACCCGGTCCTCCCGGTCTCCCTGCGCCCCCCGCGTCCCCCGGGTCCCCCGGTCCCCCCGGTCTTCCCGCGCCCCCCGGTCTCCCCGCGCCCCCCGGTCCCCTCGGTCCCCCCGGTCTCCCCGGGCGCCGCTCCTCCCTGCGCCGCGGCCTGGGGCTGCGTCCTCCCGGGGTGCGCACCGCTCCCCCCGCGGCCCCCGGGACTCACCGGCCGTCGGGGCGGGGCTCGGGCCTCCGGCGGGCGCCAGCGACATCCCGAGCCCGGGCCGGCCTAGCCCGGCGGCCACCAGGCAGCAGACGAGCGCGCGGAGCAGCGCCATCGGGAGCGCCGCGGCGGGGAGGCGGGGGCGGGGGCGGCAGGTGCGCTCGCCCCGGGCCGCGGGGCTCCTGGACCTTCGGCCGCCGCGGCCACGACCGGCCTCTTATGCGTCGGGCGGGCGACGGGCCTCGGGGGAAGGCGCCTGGGCAAACCCCAGCGGGGGGCCCTCCCCCCGCCGCAGGTCCTGCGACCGCGCCCCCGGGAATCGCAGTGAGTGACGGTTCCCGGGCCCCACCCCGGGCCAAGTCCGTCGGAAACTCCGGGTGCGGGGTGGGGGGGATAAGGGCCCAGCAAGGTGTGTTTTCTTAAAAAGCCCTCCAGGTGACGCTGCAGTGATGCTGACGTTGGAGAGCTCGGCTCAGGGACTCCAGGTTCCAGGGCTTTTGCTTGGTTGCTCGTTGACAGCGTCTGGGCCCCGAGATGCCGGAGAAGCAGAAATAGAGCCTCTTGATCTTCCTCTTCTGAGGAATCTTTAAAGGTACTTGGCCCGACAGTGGGGCCGAGATCCCCCAGCCCGCCTCGGGGTCTTGGTTCCTTCTTTGGCCTTTGATGAGGATGCTGGCCTCCTGAAGGTCACCAGCACACAGCTTCAATTTGCAGGACATGGAATTCCTCCGGAGAGGAAAATACCCTGCGGAATGACTGGCCTCATAAAAGATGCTATAAAATGTATTTGTTTCCCAGCCCAGGAAACCTTATATTATATCCCGTGTGGTTTAATTAATGGGCCACATGAAAGGGGCTTTGCAATGAATGCTTCCGTTTTGTTTCATGTGCTGCCAGCGTAGTTAGGGCCTGTCTCAGTTTTAGGGTCACTCAGAGAGCCCTTCAAGAAGCAAAATGCTTCCCAGGGGTGGCAGGATGGTCTTTGGAATTTCTCAGGCCAGCCACCTCAAAGGTATGGAGGAGAAGGGACAGGGGGAAAAAATGGTCAACAGATGAGAGAGAATGACTTTGAGGACAGCTGGATGACTTGTGTGTTTCTAGCCCAAAAGTTTTCAAAGATGGGAAAAGGATTTTTTAATGTGTAAAAATAGCAATTTTCGGTCCACCCCCCCCCCAACCTATTTCAATAAGTTTTACTGGAAGTGAATTGATTGTGAAGCAGTTCTTCAGAACCTAGGAATAAAATACCACACGCATGTGTTGAATCCTAAGCAGTGCTTGAAATCCTATAAAAGACAAAGGGTAGAAACATCATTCACCCTTCTACTCCCTGTTTTCTTTTGTTTTCCTTTATACCTCCTCTATCAGAAGTGCAAAGTTACAGTGCCCCAACATTTTGGGTTTTCCCCTTAAGCTTGGACATGAACTTCTAGGCCCCCATGTCCCAGGTGGAGGAGTCATTTGTTGTGAGGGAAAGCACATGTGACAGTGGGGGGGCCACGGCTTACTCATCATCCAACTGTGGATTTCACAAGACAGCCTTTACTCAAGTTTGTAGGCCATTTCACAAACGTTTTTCCAGGGCCTGTTGGTCAAATTGCCTGTAGGCTTGGTAATTTTCCCTGTTCTATGAACTATATTAAAAACAAAAAGGGCAACCCAGAAAACTTAGGACATTGGCTGATTACTACGTGAGCCAGAATACTGTTTGAAGAAAAATGATTGGCAACTACCCTGTAAACATTTAGGAAGCAAAGATATTCGTTAATTGCCTTCCCAGAAAAATGCATTTGGTCCACCATTGCAGCTCTTGATCTTTGTAATTGGAATTTTGTTTCTCATTGAGGCCACCCAAAACCCGCCCCCGTTCTTCACTCCATGAGACAGTTGTTATGCAAATAAATGCCCACAGGATGTTATTTGGCCTAATTATAATGAGCCAAAGCTACTGAATCCCCGTCCTTGGCCTTGTATCTTTAAGGACAGAGAGGCCAGAGTCCGTGTTTCTACTGGAGCATAGGCTGGAATCACCAAGAGAAATCAAGTCTTCCAACAGAAGCAAAGACGAAGGCTGTCTGAGCAATTCAGAGCAAACACTCTCAATGTTGTGTTTCATGCTTTTAAAGACGAAAGCATGGGGTGCCTGGGTGGCTCAGTTGGTTTAACATTGGCTCTTGATCTCAGGGTTATGAGTTCAAGCCCTTACATTGGGCTCCACTCAGGGTGTGGATCCTACTGAAAAAAAAGTGTAGGGGGGTGTTGACTGTACTTTTAGGGATGGTCATCTTAGAAAATCTTTGTTGGCATTCAGTAATAATTGTATTCATATGTTAAATCCCATAGCTGTACTTTAGCTTTTCCTACTTTTCATTATAGTAACTAAAGTAATCCAATAGTCGGATAATAGTATCATGATGGTGAATTTCGTAAGTGAAAGTAAGTTTCCTCATGCTTCTTTCTGTAAGTTAATTGGGCCTTCAATGAATTTATAGAAATTTACTGAAATCACCTGGCTAATCAAAATGATTATGGCATATTTTTTTCCTGAAAAATATTTACCCTATTTTCCTTCCCAGAAGAAAAAGATTTCCTAAGGAGTGGTCAGGGAAACTAAGATCCTGCCCCCACCCAAGCAATATTGAAGCTGAAATGTCAATTTTTGAGAATAAATGAAGAGGAAAAATCACAAAGTTTACAGTATTGTTACTAATTATGAGAATGTGGACTTGTAAACCCAATATTCAATTTCCCCTTCAGCAAAATAAAAATACTACTATCTGCCTTCATATTGTTGGTTTGGGAAAATGGATAAAAAGCATTTTATAAACAATGAAATACAGAATAACAGTTGTTTGTGTCTACTTACAAAGGCAAACACTAATAGGCTACAAATAGATATTTATCTTCCCTTGGTCAACTCAGTTCCAAGAATGCCCCCCCACACACACCCAAAAAAAAGGAATTTGAATGCCTTAATGCACGTTTTATGCACACTCCATTTTAGCACTCTCACTGACTTCACTGATAGTTCAGTTCAACGTACTTGTCTGGAGACACATCTTATAATCCAGGATAAAATTGACTTTCTTTTCCTATTTACCTTTCAATATGAAACTTGAATTATATGACATTTTGATTATGTAATGTTTTGACTATATTTACCTTTTAATAAGACATTTTCATGTATATTATTTTGCTTTATCAGCCTACATGTTCCTAATAGCAGCCCAAGTCACCATTACAAGGCTCCTTTGGGTTCTTACCAATGAATTTAATTGTCACAAAATCTCTACGCAAGTCTCAACCAAATCTGTGGCATTTCCACTTTTCCTCAGGCTTCTGCTTATTTCTTTTTAATTAGTATTTTAAACAAAGCGCTTACTTTTCCACCTTTGCTTTAGACAATAAGAAAGGTTATTCTGTCTAAAACCTCCCCATGTATAATTCTCGGCCAGATTAGTAATATTAAAAACAAAGACAAAATTTCTTATGGATGTAAGATTTTTATTCCAATTTGATTTGCATTCCAAGGGAAATTATAAAATGTATTCATTTCTTTATTTTTAAAATGTGGCCTAAAATTTTTAATATGAATTACAAAACATTATCGGTTTGCAGATCAAAATTGGGCTAGTGGCAGTAAAAAGTTTTTAAGACAAGTTTTTAAAGCACCATTTTCCACCTCCACATCAAAGATAACCTTCTAGTTAGTGATCACCCATGCTGTAATAGGATAACACTGAGACTTGAGTAAACAGAAAAACTGTAGAGCTTTTCCAACCCCAGATCAGGAGCCTTTCTATGCCTTCTCATACTGGCGAACAGCAACCACATCACCAAAAGTAAGAGTCTGGAAGATGCAAAAAATAATCAAATCTTTTTACATAAGAATAACAGAAGCTGAAATGTCTAAAGATTATCATATATAATTTACATATTATGCAAAAGCATGATGTCATTTACAGACACTAAATCCTGCATAAGCTCCTCAGTTCTTAAAAAGGAAAGAAATTTATTGAGTGAATGCCATGTACACATCGTTCATGTCTCTAAAAGGAAAATGAAGCAAAACACTGAGATTAAGTAATTCAGGTCAAAAGAATTCCTTTGCCTTAAATTATTGAGGAGGTGATGGAGCAAAATAGCCATCTGCTTTGAAAGTGAATGGAATTTATAGTAGGTTTTCGTAATAGATACATTTTGAAGACTTTTTAGAAAATCGAAATCATTTTAGCAAAGGGTATTTGGAATGACTTGTTTCAAAGTCATACAAATGCTTTGGCCGGTGTGAACTTCAGCTGATGTGAACCTAGGTGTCTAGGCAGGTGTAATATGGAACATGGACTTTTATGTCAAATCTCACTGGAAGAATTGCATAAATCCTCTTTACCAAACCTAGGAGGGGGGTTTAGTGTCCATTATTTTCATGTATTGACTTGACTTTCAAGAATATAGCATGCCCTTGTCATCCATTGCTTTAATCTTTTTTGAACTCAGCCTTGACTGACCAGTCATGCATGCCAAAGCTGAGCTACCAGTGTCCTGTATTCAGGGGGGGGGAAATGGAGATAAAAGCATAAAGGAGAACCTCAGATTGAATCTTCGATAAATAAATCCTTTCTTTCGATGATCAGTGCAAAAATAAGTGGGCAAATATTTGTTCACACAAAGGGAAAACTGACTCTCTGTTCCCCATCCCACTTGCACCCATGAAAAGAACCATGAATAATGTAAGCCCTGTGTCTTAATCTAGAACAATGCTGATTGCAGCAGATAGAAGAGAAAAAAAAATCCATTTCCTTAAATCACAAAAACAAAAAAACCCTTTGTCCATTATCCTAGAAGGAATATGTAAATCAATCCCCCCCCCCGCCCCCTTAAAAAAACCCAAAATGCTATATTTGACTATCTCTCTGTCATCAAAATACCATTACTCAGTTACAAAAAGGTGCCTGGATGTTAGATTAAAACATAAAATTTTCCCCTGTTTATGATGCTACCCCACCATTAGAGTTGTTGTTGTTTTTTTAAGATTTTATGTATTTATTCATGAGAGACACAGAGAGAGGCAGAGACATAGGTAGAGGGAGATGCAGGTTCCCTGTGGGGAGCCCGATGTGGGACTCATCCCAGGACCCTGGGATCACACCCTGAGTCGAAGGAAGACGCTCAACCGCTCAACCGCTGAGCCACCCAGGCGTCCCTGGAGTTTAATTTTTATATCATATAGTTTTTGCATGACTGCCAGTATTGAACAGTCATATTTACAAGGCAACCTTATGCATCAAAAGAAAGACTGGAAAGAAGTAACATTAAGATGGTTCCCCTAAGGAGAAACTACACTTTTCTGCTATAGCCCAAATTATCTGCACTGAACTTAGAGAACTTTTATATTAAAATATAAAATGTTTAAAAATCTCTTATTTATTACAGCAGCTGTAATTTCTCTGATATTCAGTAAGCTCGATATTCTTAGAGCTGTATCACTCCCTCTTATATATTTCCATGAATTATTTTTAGAGATGTTATTTATTTATTTATTTATTTGAGAAAGAGAGAGAGCACGAGAGGGAAGAGGAGCAGAGGGAGAGGGAGAGAATCACACTTGGAGCTAAGCACAGAGCCCTTCGTGAGGCTCAGTCTCAGGACCCTGAGATCATGACCTGAGCTGAAACCAGGAGTCGGACGCTCAGCCAACTGAACCACCCAAGCTCCCCATGAATATTTTTATATTTAGATTTCATTTGAGGTTCAGACATTCACAGTAATCCTGCACCAATTCTTTTGACACTTTTAGCTTAGTCAATGGCAACTTTTAAAAACTATGCTGCATAGTATTTTCCTTTTTTTTTTTTCTATAATTAAAGAAGCAGAGAGCCGAGTATAGTTAGCTAGGACATTTTTAATTTCTTCTGTTTTAGCCTAGGTCAGAGAGTCTTGCTGCAGATTTAATGTTATTAAAGAAGGAGAAGGGAAGTGGGAGCAGGGAGTGCACAGGAAGAGGGAATAGAGGGGGGATTGCCATTACTTACCATAACCATTTTGCCATCCTTAATTTCTCTTACAAAATTTGTTTCTTTGCCATCCCACTTCTGTACATGAACAAGTTTGTCCCCATCCAGGCTAACAACAGACTGAGACCGACAACAAAATGCAGAACATAGCATAAGGTCCAGGTTAGATTTCTTTTTTTTTTTTTTTTTTTTAAATGTTTTTATTTTTTATTTTTTTATCTATGATAGGCACACAGTGAGAGAGAGAGAGGCAGAGACACAGGCAGAGGGAGAAGCAGGCTCCATACACCGGGAGCCTGACGTGGGATTCGATCCCGGGTCTCCAGGATCGCGCCCTGGGCCAAAGGCAGGCGCTAAACCACTGCGCCACCCAGGGATCCCCAGGTTAGATTTCTGATAAGAAACTCAAGTGAAGTGTTTTTTTAAGGAGTTACATAATTGAATACATGGCGATCAACTAATTATCCCATTAGCGCTTATTAGTATCATATCCTCTGTTGCTTGTAGAGTCATTGTTATATAAACTCTATTCATTTAACATTTCATTGAAATAGGTGCATCTCATCTATTAGGAATGAGAATCCTGAACAAGTACTCTCAGACCAGTCACTCGACTCTTTAAACAAAGCTTTACAAGGAGGCAAAACTGATCAACCTAAGGCCACCGGAGAGACTAATAAACAAAATGCAATCTTTGTTTTTAAATGAACACTGTTGCTTTCTGAAATACAGATATGAAAAAAATATATATATATATAGTGAGAGACAAAGAGATTTGAGATTTGAGCGACAGCCAGTACCCACTGTTCAGAACACAACATGTGCACACTAGAATGCAAAATGAATCCTGGCGTCCTCCCTGAATTGACGTGTCCAGAACATTCTCTCCTTCCCATCCCATCGTCTAACAAAGAGAGGTGTCAGGAACCTCTCTTTTACTCCCTGCTCCCCATCCCCAGCCCAGAGAAGGAGCAGCTCCTTACCTTACAGTTTCTGTCATCTGCAGTGGTTTCATCAAACTCCTCTCCCAGGTGGAAACTAATCTCTGTGTTCTTGAACGTGCACTGAGTTCTGATCACCACTTTGTCCCCCTCCTGACCGATGATCACGGTTGGTTTGGTCACATTTCCCACCTGCCTGGTGGCAAAGCCCACACCTGAAAAAGCAACACCGTTAGCTGGCACCTTCCAAAATAACTCGGGGGGGTGGGGGGGTGGGCAGGACTCGGCTTTCCTATCCTGGAATCCAGGCCCGCAGAGCCTCAGTGTCAGTAGGACACGTTCAGCCCCTGAATCAGAACCTGCAGCCCCTGACTTTAAGGACTTGCGGGTGCTTAACTGGATGCATAGTGATAAGAGGAGAGAAAACACAAAGGTAGAGAAGCTTGGCCTCCTGCACAGAGTAGTGGCTCCATTATTCAGCCCCGGGCAGGAAGGCAGGGGAAGACCTCCTGAAAACCCCCCTGTGGGAAGCACAGAGGCCAGCATTTGATGATGGCAGTGGGATGTGTCCTGGCCGCTTGCCCATCTAGTGGGAGCTACAGAAGCTGCAGGTTAAGAGGAGCACAGCCCCCCTCTCTCTACCTACCTAGAGCCTTCATGTACTCATCAAAGTTCTGGCTGTCGGTCAGCTTCCAGGTAGCACAGAAAGCCTCCACCATCCTTGCCCTCTCCGGTAGCCCCGACGGCCGTTCAAGAGACAGGAGGGGGGACCTCTGGGTCTTCTTGCCACTGCAATGCCCAAGACCCCTTTGCACCCCGCAGCAGCTCCCGCCTTCTTATTTGGAGCCGAAGCAGGCAGAAAGCCAAGGATTTGAATGGCAAACACACCCTCCCTGTGTCCCCCTTTCTCAGGAGGCTGTCGCCCTGGGGAAGGGGGGTGGGGGTGGGAAGGGGGGCTCAAGCGAGGTTCCAATCTGCTTGGTGATTGGCTCAGGCCACTGGGTTAGCAGAGTAGGGCGAGCTCCTCCCTATCCCCCTCTACAGCCCTGCTGCTGAGAAAGCTCTGCAAGGATTCAATGGGGCTGGAGGCAGGGCATGGGGGAAATGAGAGAGGGTCTTTTAGGTTCAGCTCGAGAACTTGGCAAAGGCGATGCCAGACTGTGCAGGAAGAAAAAGATGCACAATAGGACATTCAGATTGATTTCCGTTCGTGGCAAAGTGGGTTACAAATGAGGACCCCCTTTAAGGAAAACCATTGAGATGCCAGGCTTTTCAGACAAAGGAGGCTGAATAGTGTCTTTTCTTTTCTCTCATATACGGGGAGGGCAAAACACAAGCTAGAATATGCCAAACGAGGAAAAGGGGGGGTAGGGGTGGGGGTGGAAATGCCTTCCCTGGATTGTGCAGCTAGAAGGCTACTCTGACTGAGTATCAATGGGATACTAACTAACTTTGGCCTCTTCCCAACGCAAACTGGGTGAATTTAAAGATCCATTGTCCTTTCTAAGAATCCGAGAGCCAGACTGAAATGGAAAATGGACCGAAGGAGGAGTATGGTTAGGATTCACTAATGAGGTTCAAAGTAAAGAAATGCTCTTTTTTTCTCTCTCTCTCTCCAACAGATTATAGAATCCATGAGGAAAAACAACATAACATGATTTAATAAGATTTTTGAATGACCTGCACGGTAGGACCTTTTGATTTCCTGAGGCCACGTCCATGTAAGTACCATCCGTATCTCAGTTGGGAGTTAACCAACGCAGGTAGGGCAGGAATTGGAGGAGCGATGGGAATCAGAAGAGTTTTGGCTGTACTTGTTCTGATTCAGGGTCCCCTCCCCCAGATAGCAACACACCTCAAGAGTTCTAAGCAGAGTGTTTAGCAGAGAGGTCTCTGCAACTCCCCTTCCCCCAGAGGTTCTTCCTGTTTTCCTTAATGCAGACTCCCCATGAAAAATAGATTCCCTGGTTTTCAAAGGGATGAAACAGGGGGATCTGATTTGGCAATTCCTGCTCCCTTCTGTCTCCCTGCATTTAAACCTCAGCCCACCGTCAAATACAAGAGACAAAGCTCAGAACACGTCTTGTTCCACTGCCAACTCCAAGACTCTGATGCCTCAAAGATCCCTCAAAAGTGCTCATTTAGCAGAAATTTAATCTTTCCCCATACCTGGTCTTTCTCTAGTTTTCACCATGTTTGTGAATGGCCCCATCAGCCACCCCACTGCACAAGCCAGAAAACCTGGAATCATTTTTAACACTTTATTCCCTAAAACCAAAGTCAGTGTCAAGGCCTATCTACTTTGCTTCCTGAATATTTGTGCAGTTGTCATCCACCTTCTGTCTCTACAACCGCCATCTTCAGTCAAGCAGGCACCGTCTTTTACTAGTCCTGTTCATGTGGGAAGCAAAGGTAGGAGAAAAACTATTAAATTTCCTTATTCTTTACAGCCCCTTGACACGTCCTTGAAATAGGCAGAGTGACCTTCCTCCAGAAACCCAGCTTTTGCCTCCATGTTAATATTTTGCTAAGGGCAAGAGGTCAAGGCCTAAGCCCCAGATTCTGTAAATTTAATTTAACAATTAAAAATTCCTTTGGAAACTTCCTTTATCTCACATGTTGGCAGTCATCCCCCAAGCATATGACCCACCGATTCATATCTGAAGGGTTTCATGACTATTTTTACTAAACAGTAATAAATGACCTTTTCCTAACAATAGCTAGCTCCCTCAAGATCCCGGAAACCCTGCTTCCAAAATTCCTTAAAAACTTACGTTACGCATAACCCCCTCCCAATTTGAAAGTATCTAATGGGCCCCTCCTCAGGACCTTGCTGCAACTCTTCCTGCCCAGGAGTCCTGTCCCCATGCCTTAATAAAACCACCTTTTTGCACCAAAATCATCTCAAGAATTCTTTCTTGGCTTTAGGCTTCAAACCCTACCATCATTCCTACGTCACTATGGCAACAGCGTCTCAACAGTTCTTCTTTCAGCCATGCCTGATTTCCAATTCTTTCCCTACACTGGAGCCTGAATGACCTCTTAAAATACGAATCTGCATCTTCCTAGTGACAAATGGTGTTTAGACTCTTTTCATGGGCTTCTCTGCTATTTGTATATCTTCTTTGGTAAAGTGACTGTTCAAATCTTTTGTCCATTTTTAACTGGGTTGTTTGTCTTAGTACTACTGAATTATAGAGTCCTCTATATATTCTAGACAAAAAAGCATTTGTTTCCTCATTTTCTTCATTGTTTTGATTGTGATAATGGTTTCATGGGTGTGTCAAAATTTATCAGGTATATACATTGAATATGTGCAGCCGATTTTATGCTGAATATAGCACAGTCAAGCCATCTTAAAGAATCTAAATCTTATCTTGTTCCTCTCCTGACTTCACATGACTTTCTCCCACCCTCAGGTTAGACGAAATTTCTAACATTTCCTATACCTGGCCTGCCCCTAACATTTATAGGACTCAGACTAAGAATTCAAAGGGAGGTTGACATGCCGTTATGTCTAAACAATAAAAGTTATAGATCCAATGATGCCTGCAGTCTGACCAGCGTCCCAGCTAGGATTCATAGCCTAGGCCTGCACCCTTTCCCAACAGGTCATCCTATGGTTCCTTGCGGGCCTGAGCACTAGCACAGATCTGGTGAGGTAGGCAGGCAGACGCTGTTCTGGAATCCCCGAAACTTGGGTCAGGGACTAATTTGGACTTGGTATTATACTGACATGACTAAAGATGCCAGAGGCCACTATGAAAAAGCCTGCAAAGAAGACAACCCAGAGAAAGCAAAGCATATATGGCCAGACCCTTTTGACACCAACTGGGCCTTTGAAACAACTCCCTACAGCTAGCCCCATCTATGACCTTTTCATAAACTCTTTTTTTTTTTCCTAAATCTAAATGACTAATCCATTATGCAAACTATCCTATGGTAGAGGTTCTTAGACCAAGTTATTTTGTAACATCAAAATATTCCTATACATCCCATTTAATAAAACATGTTAAAGTTCTTAGAATGTTTAAATATTACTCTAAAATACAAATAAACCATTTCTTTTTCATCGTCCAAGAATGTAAGATCATTGAAAGCAAGGCCCATGTATTATACATACATATTCACCTTAGCCCCTTATAGATCATAGTGCTGAAATTATTCATCCATACTCATTTATTTCTTCCACTCTTTATATAAGATATAAGCTTCTGATGACATACTAATTTTAACTTAAAGCATATGTTCTGTAATTCTGATTCTTTTCATACCTTATATAAATCATAAAGACCCAGCAATTTAGAGATAATTTTTTTGGTTGTGTATTAATTCAGTGTGAAGCAAGAGAATGTTGCTATACACGTGTCTATAGTAGAAATTTAAGGAAAAGCCACTTGATGATGTTATAACTCTGTAAACTGACACATTTAATGTTACCATTTTTAATTATTTAAGATGTATTAGATTTATATCTAAGCATGTTTGCTTTCTTTTTTTTTTTTTTTTTTTTTTTTTTAAATTTTTTTTTATTTACTTATGATAGTCACAGAGAGAGAGATAGAGGCAGAGACACAGGCAGAGGGAGAAGCAGGCTCCATGCACCGGGAGCCCGACGTGGGATTCGATCCCGGGTCTCCAGGATAGCACCCTAGGCCAAAGGCAGGCGCCAAACCGCTGCGCCACCCAGGGATCCCCGCATGTTTGCTTTCAAATAATAGATTATTTGCTCAGCTTATTGACAGTTTTAATAGAAGAGAAAGTGAAAGAATAGAGAGGAGACTGTGTTGTGCTAAAAATGATTCAACTAATACATATTTTTCCAATTTTCCTACACTTGTGAGCAATTTATGATTTTGCTATGGCTTTAATAATACAAATGCACCCACAGGCTTTAAGAAGGAAATACTGTGATAAAATGACCACTCTTTCAGGGCTATTTCCTCTATGTATTAACTAATGACAATAAGGTCTCTCAAGAATCCATTATAAAGATTTTTTTTTATTAGTGAAACAAAAGGAGCAAAGAAAGAAAAGCTGCTTTGGGGGTCTTGGCAAAATCTCCACGTGGAGTTCAATCTCCTGGCACCTGCTTTATGGAAATTTTTTCTTCTTAAGAAAACAGAGAGAATTAATACATTTTTAACATTGTTCTTGATCAAAGTGAGCCAACCATACATAGCTTGACCTGAAATTCTTGGACCATACATTGACCTTCAATTTTGAAGAGAACACCAAAATGTTTTCCCAAAATGGATTCACCAGTTTAGGCTCCCACAAGTAGATTCACATCTTCCCCAACACTTAGTATTGACAGGGTTTTTTTAAAGTTGGCCTATCCAATGCATATAAAAGGACAATTTTGTCTCGATTTGTGTTTTCCTAATCTCTAATGAGGATGGACATCTCTTCATGTGTTTATTGGTCTATAGTTTCTTCCTCTGTGACATATTTGTTCATCCTCTGCCCAATATCATGTAGGTTGTTTGTGCTTTTCTTATTGCATATTCTTGATCCTAATTGTTTTAGACTACGGTTGTCATGAATATCTTCTACAAATTCGTAGCTTACTTTTTTAAATGTAGCTTTTGATGTAGCTTTTGATCGTTCTTACTTTTAATATTGTAAAATTTATTAATATTTTATTTTATGTTCAATGTGTTTTGCCTTATTTAGGAAAATAGCCTACCCCAGGTTCAGAAGACAATTATCTACATTTTCTACCAAGACTTTTAAAGTTTTAACATTTGAGTGTTTAACTTTCGGGACTATATTTTTACATGTCATGAGAAGAAGGGACCCAAAA